CAGAATCCACTTCAGCCGGCGTGTGATCTAGAGTAAGGTGACCTGTTTTGAGGTGAGCCAGAGCAATAGCTAGATCACTCAATTACCACAGATCAAGCCGAGCAAGAAGTTACAGGACACCTGTATGCACGTCAGTTGGCACAGAGTTTGCTGGAAGCCATAAAACTGTAGTGTCTGCATTCCGTTGTCACATTTACCATTCTTCCTGAACTTGAACCACACTTTGTAACTGTCGCTCACATTGTATCATGACGTCTGTTTTAATGTTACAAATACACAATTTTCCGGTGCGACCTGCTGACGTCTTGCTGAGCGAGTGTATTTATGCTCCGTTGAACTGCTTGTCGACTGTTGAACCAGTGGGACTAAATTTCTGTGTTTGTGTCAAATGTTGAAGGTCACAATAAATCCCTGTGGCATTTCTGAGCCATGAATAATTTTCCTACCGTGGAACATATCACGCACGCGGAACCATCTGTATGGGGAAATTCCGACAAGTGAATAGTTCCTTTCACAGCCAGTTACTGCATTTGGATCGGTGTAGTGGACTATTGGATCTACACATTCGTCAGTNTTTTTAGCCGTGAATAATTTTCCTACCGTGGAATATATCACGCACGCGGAACCATCTGTGGGAAATTCCGACAAGTGAATATTTCCTTTCACAGCTAGTTACTGCGTTTGGATAGGTGTAGTGGACTATTGTATCTACACACTCGTGAGCCCCCATTCGGCTACTCATTCCTTTCCTATTGCGATTTTGTGATTTTGTATTGGTTACCTTGCTTGTTAATTTATCCGAACACGCTGAGAAGGTCCTAGTCCGCTGCAAAACCATTGCATCTAGGAGCCACTTATTTTTCGCGTAGAAGAGGGGTTGCATCTAGCCACGGAACAGTATCACTTATCAAAAATTACCTGGAGGTGCTAAACGTTTTGTCTGAATTTAACTGTGCAGAAAAACGTTTGGATGACAACCTTTCGACACTACAGTTTTTTTCGCTTCAACTAACAGGGACCACACCACCTGTAGATAACTAAGGAGCCCAACGCCAATATAGCCGTGGGTAAACTACCGGACGGGCCTTTGGATGCTGCTTTTAAGGAAATGACAGCGTGATGAATGCCAAGGAGTGAGGTTGTATCTCTAAGTGCTACGCACTGTAGCCGAACCACTTCTACTTTCTCTCGCGCACTTGTGATCAGCGTACATCTGGGCGGGCCTCATAGTGATCCTAGCAGTAATGTCCAGCACAGGACCACGTGGCTTTGCATTCTTATCACGCAATTATACCATCTTCAGTCTCGTGGCGGTTTATCATGAAACCGCATCAAAATTATGCATCTTTCCTACAGTGTCATACCTAATTCGGTTACGACTGATGTCATCAATATGACTTCCTTGGAAGTGGGGCAGGTATATAAGCATTTTTTTTATTTTTCAGGGATTTACTAGGTTAATTTTTGCCTAAGTAAAGGTGCGTTTTATGTGCCCTGCTTGTACCTTGAAACCTTCAGTGCACCTCATCGCCATATCCTTTTCATTTGGGGCTGTGTTTGCTACCATTTCGAATTGCGTATTATTGTGCATAAAAACAAAGTTCTATTCTGGTGATTACATGCTATCGACTGCTTCACGACCGCAAGTTCAGGCGATCGTAGGACCATTAGCAATAAAGGAGCTCGAACATCACATCATATCCTGCTCATGTTGCAGAATCCGCATAAATACAAATTGGTCCACAAGTAAAAACAGCGCCGCCAAGTTAACTCTATCTCAATCAGCGTTTATTTCCGCAAAAAAGGTTGAAGAAACCAGCATTTATTCTGTTTCGTTTTCAATACTCAAACGACTCCAAGCGCCACCGCAAAACAAGTACATAGACTCAGTTATTGCCTCCGGGTTAGACGTCCATGATCCGTTTCTTGCATGCTTCGTTGATAACAGTTCCATCACTCCTAACATTCACCAAGTTATAGCTAGGTTCCGTGGGTCATACCCTCATATTAGTCCCAACGACCATCATGTACACACTGCATTGAAATGTTCGTGTTAATTTTAGAACGCTCGCAATTTCTAGTAAATCTGGGTTGATGCGGCTAGCGTCCCATCGCTTATTTTGTTATAAGTTCTTAAAGTTGCCAGGTTATGTTTACGAATGCTGCAAATGAATATTTTCGCCACATTTATCACGACTTTTTTGATGATATTGCAAAATTTGCCCATTGGATGTTCCTAGGGAAGGACATATAAGACGCCCTCAGCCCTTCCGTGCAGCCGCTGGTGCCAATAAAATCCTGAAACAGGCAACGAACTGTGTGCACCAAACCAAGTCCGGCGACGTGAAACGGCGGAACCAGCTTCGTCTAACCTCTTCAATAACCCATTTACATACTCGGGTGATGAGGCCACGTTTCATTCTTGTACCGATTCTCCAAAACGAGCGGGAAATTATTGCCTGCTCCTGATGGAGAGGGGAGATCTGAACATCCCACGAACATGAGTCGCCACGATTGGTTCCACAAATTGTTGTACAGCTACCATAGACGCCAACAATGTCATGATAGTTTGTTTTGCTGGCTCGGAAATTCGCCCATACCGTCTCAGCACCCGGTAATTCACTCCGCTGGTCTTTCATTTGACAGACACTGGGCTGCAAATATGGCACATCTGCCATTCTTTAAAATGCCAGACTAACTTGCGATTGACAGCCTCTCCTGCGTTTCACATTGAAACCTCACTCACCGAAGACCTTGCCACTTCAAGAAGTCAACATGGAAGTGCACCTATATTTGCGTAATAATGGGGTCTTCTCCCCTAGTCACCGTTCAGTTGCGCCACTTTTGTTTACTGGCTCAAAGTTCCCTTTCGGATATGGTAGCAGCACAAACACCTGGTCGTCCTCTTTCGCCTGAGCTAATCGCCGGCTTTGTTCCTCTCATTCTCCTACTACCGCTTTGTGACCCTGGTTAGTATAAATGGCTCATCGATCACCCATCACGCCATAACAGCTCCCGCCTTGGATACCGGCTTCACCAATTAACATCCACTTTCCTCACTCTTACCCCAAAAATGTTTCGTCGCAGCCGGTGACCTCAGATCTTAATCGCTCCCCTTGGCAACGGATCTATATAACAGATAAACCCAGTTTTCACCTCGCTTGGAAGAGACTACCACGAAAAACCTTCTTTCTAACTGAAGTGCTACTGAGCATTCTCTAACCTCAATACTCTGAAGAGACTACCACGAAAAACCTTCTTTCTGACTGAAATGCTACTGAGCGTTCTCTAACCTCAATACTCTATCATGCGCTTGATCTACAGTGCACTTTGTGTCCAGGCCAAAAGATCACAGCGAGATGTTGATACGGTTCCTAAAACCCCTGCCGGGTCGAAGTGGCACAAGTACTCCGATCACTTACGCTGGAATGCTTTCCATAAACCTGTTGTGTTCCAATATCAAGCTTTCTATCCAGAAGCTTGTCGCAAGTTCTTTTTGGGCGACCCTGATTGTAGACAGACGATTGAGTTTTCAGGCCATCTAGGCCGCGCCGTTTCTGGAAATTGCCCCTCTAATGAATCTGGTCTCGATGAGATAATAACCATTTACCACTTTTCCTAATATCACAGGCCATCCGATATCACCACCGATTGCTAAAACCCAAATAATCTTCAAATACAAGAACACACACCTTTTGGACTCTGTTTACACCACCAATCCTGGTAATGGCCTAACCTGTGTGACTGAGCGAAAACTTGTTGGATTTCCACTTACCAAACAGCACACACCCTTGTATCATCGCCCTGGCCATGTTCTACCATACCACGTTCTTCTGCTCGTTTTCCGTGAAGATCTTTCATTGACAAGAGGACGTTCAATCATCCACCCGACCGGTAACAGCAGCGGAAGTCACGACAACAATATATGAACCTATCGGCTTCAGGTTTATTGCCATAATTACATAAGAAATCGTATCTGAAATTCCGGAAAAATTTCCGGTGTTGCGTAGTTAATTTCGATCTGCGCAGAAGAACTTATTCATGACACGCTCATTCACTATCAGCGCAACTCAGCCCTTAACCCACTCAACCAACGCTGCTGCCCTGAAAAACTAAATCAGTTAATACGAAATTTACCCACCAACAATAAGATTTTGTTTTATAGAAAGACTCAGATGGATGTAAGCTGAATCACCCATTTAGGGGGTTTTCTAATCCGAACACACTGTATATCAGCTAACACTATATTCACCATATCGGACTGTTTTTAAAGCAGTGGCAAAAAATTTCTGACCAGTTTTGTTCAAGAGTCTGTCATATTTCGAAGCGTTTCCTCAACACAAAAAATATATTGTGCTACAAGATTTGTGCTGATGTGTATTGTCTTTAGGAGTTTTCTGTGAAGAGAGGGAACTAAACCATAAGTGGCGACACTGGAACACGTTCGTTAGCTCTACGTTGCTTGGTATAGCTACAAGTGCCAGTAAACCAGTCCTTATGCCAGGCATCATATCCCTCAAACAATCTAAGTACTGCGTATCGCTACCCGACTGCAATTGGGAACTTAAAAATACGCCGACCAGCTCATGTTTTTTCAGTCTCAAGATAAACGTCTCCCTTCAAATTATTTGAATATTGTACGCGGAGATTTTCGAACAAACGCTCCTTTCCACTTTAGCGGTTCAATCTGGCTCTGTTCTGTCTTAAAGCCCTCTAGAGGTCCCTCTGAATAGAGTTCAGACTCTCGTCCTCTCTAATGTTAAAATGTTTCATGGAATGATTGGTATAATTTGTCGTATGCCTCTAACTCCCTGCTCAATTATCAGGGTAATTTTACCGCTACCATTATGTCTCTAGTCTATCGGTTATCAAAGCGTCCCAGCTAACCGTAAAAAATATCCGGGAGCGCCCAGCGATAGACGCTACAATGATTTCATAGCTCTGTCCGTAGAGTACATAAAAAATAACTCATGTGCCTCGACGGGTTTTATTCAGCTTACCTCCAAGAGTCTGAACAAACATGATGCCGCCACCTCCGAGTTTACAGAGGTCAGGCGTCCTATAAAGCCGGCCACGGAAAGTAAGAGGCACAACGATTATATTTCTGAAATACTTTTGCCACTAGAATAAGATATTTTACGCCAAAATGTTGCGTTTGGTTGCTGAAATTTCCCTAATCTACCGTCACATTTTTGTGACATCTGGATTGATCTCGTTAGCAAACTTTTGGCACAAATTTGGCTTTGAACCTACTGATTTGTGACTCGAAAAGTGGCTTAGCGTACGTTTACTGAGAATTTCGGGCTTCGATAAAGGTGCTTTAGAGATTATACCGGGAATGGCCTGGAAAGATATAGAGATCTGCCCAAAAGCCTCTGTACACAAGCGCTGTCCATCAGGATTTGCCACGCAGTCCATTCTAATTAAATTTTGCAACTGATTAGATAATGAGGCGATCAATGAAATGTCTGCTGAACTCCGGTTTTCAAGTTTTTCTAACGAAGTCCCTGCCGATCTGGAAAATGCCCCCTTGGAGCCTTGGACTCAGACTCAAACCCGGTGTACAACTAGTAAGTCTGCTACTCACTCAACTCTCGGCTCCTCACCCTCGAAGGTAGCAGAGACAGTGTTGAAATGCTCGTTCACAAACTTCCTCAGTCTTTTCAACAAACTCGGCGATGTTAAACAGTCAGCTTGTCTTGATCAACCGTCCATAATCGCACTCACGGAGACCTGGCTCACACCAGATGTCTCTGACGCGGAGACCCCGATAGACGATTACTCTATTTTTTGAGCCGACTCAAAACGAGGGCGGGCAAGTGAGGTTGCTCTGTATTTACATGCGGTCC